TGAGCGGCTGGTCACCAGCGGCACCGAGGTACAAAAGAATGAGACAGCATCAGGGCCATTGTCAGTTTGCCTGTGCCCATCGTTGGCTTGGATTTGGTAGGCCCTTCTCGCCTGCTGCGGCCGGTGCTGCCGCCGCTAGCGGTGCCAGCGGTGCCAGTGCCATGGGAAGTTGGCGCCGGGCTGCCGAGTAAGGATATTGCGATTTCAGGAAGCGCCTCACTTCAAACTCCAAGTACAGAGCATGACCTGGATAGCACTCGCAACACAAGTCCGGAGTGCGGCGGCACTCTGCCCACACAAAACTTGAGTCCCTACCCCCGTAGCCTGCACGTATAATATGATATGTCTCGATGTTAGGAGAGAAGAAGGAGAAATTATTGGATGACGAGCGTAACCTTCATGCCACGTGATGCTTTCGACTATCGTGCAACACCCAGGCTCGGCATTTGTGAGAGCTGTAGTTGGCTCTGTACTATTGGCCGAGCATGTATGTAGGTGCCAGCAAACATATAGTTAGACAGATCTATGAGGCACCATCCAAAATCTAGCTCATGTTCTCTCCGTCACAGGCCTGACGCAACTACAGGGGATGTAAAAGGCACCACAGCCTCGCTTTCCCAATGCCTCCTGAGGTTTTGGTCCCGAAGTGAGGCACGTCGAGGCTCCAGCATCGGAGAAGGCCACCTTCCAGATAACTATCCTTTCAGCCGTCATCGGACCCTCGCCGGTTCCACGAAATGTGGGCAAAACCATGTTCGATAGAAGGGGCGACATGGCGGTTCGTGGAAGCAGTGGAGGTGAACCAGCTCCGACGGTCCTTCACCTCCCTCCAGGCCACACCGGGTATGCTTGAGAACCCTTAGAGTCTTGGGACTGAGCAACCTCGAAGTGGGGTGAGGTGCAGCTGCGAAGCTGGCAGTTGGCCGGGACATACAGCCGCCAGATTTCAGACGAGTGGGCATCAAGGGGTTCATTTGTAGGCCTGTTTGGATGTGACAATACAGTGGATCCAGCAGTTTGCGGCAACTTCCAGCCAGAGTTCCGGGAGAGCACTGTGCTGTTTGGCACAAATTGTACACAAGAAGGATCTTGAATGTCAGTTGTTCGGGTCGGCCAAGTCCCGAAATGATGGGCTCTCGGAGGACAAGGGCCCTTTCCAAAGCAGGGGTGGAGTCCAAACCGCGAAGCGCTTGGCCTCAAAGCCCTGCAAGGCTGAGATGCAACTCTCCTTTCAGAGACAAGATGGAGAGGTGGCATCCGAACCGCCTGGGCCTTTTAGGGCCCTTTGGGTTACATTCCCAAGTTCGCCCAAGCCTCGGGCGGGCAGGGATTGGTTCCACAGGTTCTTTGGAGGGCGCGAACTTAGGTCAAGTTCTTTTCCTGCAGAGTCCAGCGGCTGCGTGAGAGGAGAGGTTCAACCCGCAGCTGGAGCGCAAAGCCAGAGTGAGTTTCTGGCTTTCTGTGCTATTCGAGGTTTGGTGCCTTTCTTCCCGGCTCGGGACGCGAGGGCGTGTGCTCGCCTTACAGTATTGGCCGAGGGATCACGGAGGAAGCTGCAAGCCGGAGTAGCACACGTAGAGGCCCCAGAGAGGAGCAGTCCGATGTCCCCCTGCTAAGTCTCGCGCCGGTGGCCGGTGCCAGCATGGCGCTGGGAAGCCGCTGCCTCAGCCCATATCCGCGCCGGTATCGTTGCCGAAGTGTGAGATGGAGATGTGTGCTTTTGGTATGCTGCTCTTTGGTGCTTTGTGGTTGCGGCCAACCTGTCGCTTGAAAACTTCTCTGCCTTCAGACTCTGCTTGTGGGCTGGGGCATGCTGACACGGCTTGCATCCTCCCACCATCTATAGCTGCTATAGCTTCGATCTAACCGATTATCAGCGCTAATCTTGTAAGCCCGTCGTGATTCTCAGACTCCACAGAGCGAAGGTCATGCCAAGTCAGAGGATGGCTGGATGCGTCCCGTATCATGTTGCTGCGAGGTATACAGATGCGCAGACGCGCAACAAAACCGCAAATGACCAGCAGATAGACACACAGGATGATCGATGTATGGCTCGCCTACCCACCTACCTGCAGGTAGCACAAACGAAAAAGTAAACACAGATCTGTCACAGCTCAAAACCTGCAAAGAGAGGAGGATCAGACAGACGAACAGAGAGATAGGCCGATCAGGGAGCCTCCAGCAACTCTAGTAGGTCACCCAGGTAGGCCCGCATGCAAGAATGGTCTGTGCAATCTCCTTCCTTGATACTTGATCCAGGCGGAAAATCTTATCTGGTAGTTCGGGGTGCATGTTTATGGTGTGCCTGTCCTAGGGAGTGGAGTGCTTGTGTGCTGACATTTTCGGGCCTCGGCTGAAGAACGGCAGAAGAGGCAATGCTGGCAGTCATCAAGTCCGGTTTCAAAATGTTTATGGTGTGGGATCAGTGCCTCGTCAATGAATGCCCTTCATTTTGCCACCTTTAGAACCTGCAGTCCCTCGTGCCTGAGGCGGCTGCAGCCTAGGATGAAGTCACCATGCCCTACATTCACGCTGCAGACTTTCTATTCCGCGGTAGCATTTGGAACGGGAAGGCTTGTGAACGCAATTCCCCACACACACACATAGCATAAGTCACAGTTCGGATGCCTTGTAGTTCCGGCTGTCCTATGTTCTTGCAAAAACCGCGGAAATCCCAGGCCCATAGGTCCTATACACATAGCTCCCGTGAGAACCGGTGCAAACCCAGCATAATCCCTTCCAGACCAGACTGCAATACCAATGATTCTGTGCACTACCAATGATGCAAATAGAGAGAGAGAGAGAGAGAGAGAGTCTTGTGCCTGCCGTGCTCTTGACTGTGTGGAAGAAGAGTCTTGGAAACATACTTGATAGTGGTGTCGGATCTCCAATATTTCCTGCGACGAAGAGGGGTTGGAGTTGATGCTTGCAGTCTACTTAGGTTAGGTGTTGAAAGGTCGAAGTGCCCTATTCTGGCCAAGGCAGCAGCAGTTTGGCAAGCACTGTTCCCGGCGGAGCCGCTGACGTCTCTCCAAGCAATGCTGGGCTCTTGGTGCAATTTGCTTTGGAGACCCACTGTAGTTCACGTGCATGCAAGCACTCAAACAGCAGGGTTGACCCTCCTCGTCTCGGTTATGTTTACAACCTCAGAAAGTCTGAAGCAGAACAACGTCTTCGAGGGAGGTGTGTCGTGAGCTCGGTAATGGGCGTGCGGTCACCACGTGTGGTTACAGCGGTCGTCCCATTCCGTTTTCTTTGTGGTAGTCCTGTGCAGAAAAATCAAGCGTGTCAAGGCCTCGTAGCTTCTTAGATGTATCACGTGTCTAGTGTGGAGAAAATCGAAAACTTTGTGTGTGCGTCTTTGCAGGATTGGATGCTGATGGTTGCCGGTTGGGTGAAACGGGCTCGATTAACAGGTCTTGGGCTGTGGACCTAGTAGCAAAATCCGAGGCCACTGATAGTCCTTGCCTCACTTCGACTGCTAGGCCAAGAGCGAGACCGGCGAGCTCGATGTGTGGTTGAAGGCTGCATGCTGGGATTTTCGGCCTGGTGCCCGCGGTACTCCGAGATCCGCTCCTAGTCTGGTAGCGCATTCGGCTGTGCTGTCTGTCTGCGTGCCTGGTCACGTGATTCACTTGATTGCATGCCTACACACCGACATCAAGCGACAACGCAGCTTTTCCGTCCAGTTTCAGGTTTGTTTGCCTTCGTTTTCCGCTTCCGATCTGTTGTTCGTCGGTCTGTGGCCGGGGTTGACACGCATGACCTACTCTTCAGCCCTTCTGCTTTAAAGGATTTCGGCACAGTGCTGGTGCTTCATGCCAGGAGAAAGCGCAGAAGATCAAGGAGCTCGGATCTGTCCGGCTTCGGGGATGTGCAGTCACGGTTCGTCTCGAGATCAGGAAGTGTGTTTGTCTGTTGCGTCATATTCTGCCAGCTGAGACCTGTGGGCTCAAAGGCTAGGTGATGCTGGCGAAGTAGATCTAAGAGCACTGGCCTCAATGAAGATAGCGAGAGAGGGAGAGAGAGAGAAACCATATCTTTTTCCGAGCTCCGAC